GTCTTAGATCGAGAAGAGGAAGGTACATAATTCCCTATTTACTATGTTAGTATGACTCTAGGCGAGGCCGAAACAAGGTATCCTCACCTGGAAAAATTGGCGATAGCTTTGCTAAGCGCCTTCAGAAAGTTGAAACCGTACTTTCGAAGTCACCCCATATGTATCGTAACCTCTTACCCACTGAGGAACATCATGCACAAGCCCGAGCTATCGGGTTGGTTGGCCAAATAGGCCGTCAAAATTAGCAGGTATGATATCAAGTATCGACCCTGAACTCCCATAATATCTCAAATTTTGGCCGACCTCGCGGCCGACTTTATGGCGGCCTTAGTGCCCGAAGTCGAAAGAGAATTATTGTTAGCCTCGGGGACTACCTCGGGAGTTTGGATCCATTTTACGGATGGTGCCTCGAACACAAAAGTGTTCGAGCTCGATATCGTGCTAAATCTCCCTACGGGAAATGTAGCTATGCAGTCTATTAAAACTGTGAAATTGGCTTACAATGAGGTCGAGTATAAGGCTATGAATGCAGGTCTCGAATTGGCTAAAAGTCTTGGGGCCGAGGTGGTCGAATCTAAGTGTGATTCCTTCGTTGTGGTAAATCAAGTCAATGGGATATTCGAAGTAAAAGAGGAACGAATGCGAAGGTATTTAGACAAGTTACAGGTAACGCTGCATCAATTCAAGGAATGGATCCTGCAGCACGTGCCTCATGATCAAAATAAAGAGGCCGATGCTCTGGATAACTTGGGGTCATCGATTGATGATGATGAATTCAATTTGGGAACAGTCGTACAACTCATGAAGTTGGTGGTAGAAGGAGGCCATGCCGAAGTAAACTCAACGAGTTTAACCTGGGATTGGACGAACAAGTATATAGACAACTTGAAAACTGGGAAATTGCCCTCGGATCCCAAAGAATTGAGAATCCTGCATACCAAGGCTGCCAGATTTAGCATGGTCAAAGGGGCATTGTTCAAAAGAACGTTCGATGGCCCATTAGCCAGATGCTTGGGGCCGAGAGATACCGAGTACGCCTTGAGAGAAGTTCACTAAGGCACTTGTGGAAACCATTAGGGGTAGAGTCTTTGGTTCGTAAATTAATCAAGGCCGGCTATTATTGTACCGAAATGAAGGAGGATGCGAAAGACTTCGTACAAACGTGCGACGGCTGCAAGAGACACACACCAATGATCCATCAACCGAGGGAGCTACTACACTAGGTCCTGTCCCCATGGCCGTTTATAAAATAAGGGATGTACATCGTCGGTCCCTTGCCATGGGAACCGAGTAAAGCTCAAATTCATACTATTCATGACTGACTATTTTTTCAAATGGGTTGAGGCCCAAGCATTCGAAAAGGTCCCGGAGAAAGAAGTCATTGACTTCATCTGGGACCACATAATATATCGATTTGGCATACCAGCCGAAGTCGTATGTGATAATGAGAAGGAATTCATCGGCAGCAAGGTAAATAAATTTTTCGAAGATCACAAGATTAAAAAGATACTATCAACACCTTACCACCCTAGTGAGAATGGACATGTGGAGTGACGAGCGTAAAACTCAACACAAAATTGATGCTCGCTAGTCAACGATAATATAGTTTAATTATCATCTCCATAGGGATTGAATTTAAATAATGCTCAAGTAATTTCTAGCTTAACGCTATTCAGGATGATCAAAACTTGAGTTGTAATGATTATGAACTATGTTTAACTACTATAATAAAGCAATTGACAATTTACAGGAAGGAATTGGAGATTCACAGAGTGGTTTCTTATAAATGTGAGGAATAAGGGTTTGACAGTGTAGGTGCAAGACAACTATTTGGGATGTAACTCTAGTTTAATTCACTCTAACGTTCTAATGAATCTCACGAATTCACTCGATGATTAGTTCAAATGTGTAGTCACGACTCCTCTCTCGATTAAATCTTAACTCTGCGAGATGAACTAATATAAACACTTTGAAGTATGCAAGCATGCGTTAATGGATTGGTCCTTAGGAAAACGTCTCTCGAATATTCTCCTAACTTGATTTAATCAACAATTCAACTAGCTCTTTCGATTATTTAGAGAATCAATGAATTAAATCAAACAAAATAATGCAAAGATAATTACCAAAAAATTCCTCTTTCGATTAAATAACCTGACGAATAAAGTTGCAACAATTCAAAACTCCATAAACGAATTCAAGCACGAAGTAGAGTTAATATTCACAAATATTTATTTAACCATCATATCCATCAAACCCTAAAGGAAATTACTCCATAATCATGGAGGAAATAATCACAAATATAATTAAAGAATAAGAAAGCATCAATCTTTTACAATCCAAACTCTCGTATTGAATTGATGGAAAGATGATGGAATCCCGTGCCTTCTAGCCTCCAATGCTCTCCCAAAGCTTACAAGGTCAAAGTCCCTTCACAAACGTCTCTTTGGTGTATTTATACCATGTAGGAGTGGGCCTAGGCGAAATTACCTTTTCCTAGCCAAAACAAGACAAATACTGTGCGAACATTACATATGTGCGTCGCCCCATGCGGGGCATTTATGGGGAAGCTCAGAGAGCATGTTTTGACAAACAGCAAGGCGGCGCGGCAGTGTAAGTTTCTCAGAGTGTTTCTGTTTTGTCTATTTTTGATATCCAGACTTGGCTCCCGACCCCCGAACGCGATCCCGGTTTAATCCCTTGGGCTTTTACTCAAACTTCAAAGGTCCAACTTGTCAATTTATCTCCGAATATCTTTTTAACTCGAAATCACTTCCGACAAGGCATAAAACACATAATAAGTGTAATACACTAACATTTAAGCTCAAACACAAGTAAAATACAGTAATTGGACTGCAAACTATGACTAAAATACGTGATTCTAGCCTACCATCAACACCCCACACGTAAACCATTGCTCGCCCTTGAGCAATCAAACTGCACTTCACATAGAAAGGATCTTGTTATCAGACAACTTCCCTAACGCATCATGCCAATAATATTTAAAATAGACTAAGCACCGTATCATAATATCCTAACCTCAAGACTCGACTCAAAAGCACCACACTTTTTTCATAACATGCTCACTTACTCTAACACAGAGGTTAAAGAATTCATCTTACCTTCACAAATCATGTGCCCTCACACAAACAATAGAAAGTAGTTCCACACATGATAAATTGAAGAACAAATAAGAGTTCAAGATAGAAAGAATTAACTCACTCACAGAAATAGAATTCATGTGGCACAGAAGACGTACCATAGGCTTGCCCGTAGTGTAATACTCTACTAATTGAGCTCATTCAGTCAATAAATAAGTAGAACTTTATTTGGTTGTAATGTAGGCTGCGGGACGGGCATGATAGATTTGGATACAACGACTACACCTCCTTAAGCACTTTAATACATATACATTAACCATTCAAACCCCGCGCTTATGTTTAACCAAACCCCAACCTACATCATATTAGCATCCAGCTCCTAATATCTTTAAGCACAAGCAAGATGAGAACTACCACTAGCATGGAAACCATTATTTTCTTTTCTAAGTTCTGATTTTTTTTCCATCAAACTCTTTTCTCAATTCTCTACCCGTGGCTCTCACAATTTTTCAAACAGTGCACCTTTCTTCTTTTTCAATAGTTCCATCCAAAACCCGACCATACGTCTCTTATCTTTTACAAGCTCATACAAATTCAAGTGCTCAAGAGAGGTAAAAGTTTCAAACAGATAGACAATTCCAACAAAGGGGTCAAGCTTGTAGTGTGGTTGCCAAAGAAATAGGAATACAGGCTCAAAGGGGCTTAACTAAGACACATCACAATCAGGTGGGTACACACATATATCTGGCTCAACAAAATAATACTTATATCACTTCCTAGACTAAACAAGACTACTATTTTGCTTTGCAAACACACGGGGTAAGTTCTAGACATCATCCGACATGCACTGCATATCAGAAAACCTCGCACACACATTGGCACATAACTCACATAGGATCGAATCAATCTCGACTCTCTAGTCAAAGCAGTTAAGCAAAGTTACAATCATACAAATTAAGGAACTTATTTAAGAGTCAATAAATGAGACTAGGCATCACAACGAAGACACTTACTACTCTCAAGGCACAACAGCGTCAAGAAAAGTCAACTCCATTTAATAGATAGCGCAAGACTTCACTATTCCTAATAAAAGAAAAACTAACTACACCCGATTCAAACAAAACCCTTGGAAAATAACCGCGACACAAAGAAAAAAGAAGGGGGAATTATTACACTACCTAAGAAAACAAAATAATTTTTCTTCGACTTTGATCCTTCAAGAAGACAGTTGAGAAAATCCATTATCGGGAAAAGTCCATTTTTTTAAATCAAAAGAAACGATTACAAACACACATATACATATATACATTCCCACCCTACAGTTTAAATTATGGCATGTCCCCATGAGATACAAATAAAAAGCAAGAGGTAAAGGAAACTTCCCTGATTAATCTAGTCGGGGTCTGAATCGAAGTCGGGATCTCCTTTGCATGCCCGACTCAGTGCACACATCCATGCTGAGAGCTTCTTTTCCACCTTCTTTGGGTACACCCCACACTTATGAGCTTCATTTTTTCCGATTTGCTCTTTTGGGCCCCCCTTTCTCCTTCTATTTTGAAGATCAGCTTTTCATCCCCCACTCTGAGTGTGAGCCGCCTTTCCTGAATATCCAAAATTGCACTTCCCGTAGCCAAGAATGGTCTTCCTAAAATCAGAGGGACCTCCCTATTTTCCTCCATGTTCACCACAATGAAATCCACAAGAACGCAAATTTGTCTACCCGAACCAGCACATCTTCAATGATTCTTTCAGGTATGAATGGTGTCTGATCCGCCAGCTGAAAGGACATAAGTATCGACCTGATTTCTCCAATCTCACCCTCCAATTTCCTGTAAATAGATAAAGGCATAAGATTAATATAATCACCTTAATCACACGAAGATTTTTTAAATTTAGTACTTCCTAAAGAGCAAGGTATAGTGAAACTCCCTGATCTCCATATTTTTGAGGGAGCTTATTCTGCAAGATGGCACTACAATGCTCTTTTAGCTTGACAACCGATGTCTCTTCCACTTTTCGCTTCTTGGACAATATCTCCTTCATGAATTTAGCATAAGCTGGCATCTGAGAAAGTACCTCTGTGAAAGGTATATTCATATGCACCTTTTTGAACACTTCTAGAAAGTGCTTGAATTGTTTGTACAACTTCTCTCTTCTTTGCTTCTGGGGGAAAGGTAGAGCTGGCGTGTATTTGCTTTCTTTAGTCTCATTATTTGTTGAATTATCATCTTTCTTCTTTTTCTGAGCTCTAATCTTCCCCTTCTTCTTAAAATCCTGATCTACCATCACTTCTCCTTCTTGAATGTTGTTATTTTTCTGCAGGTCCACAATTTCCCTCTGTCTCTCAATCGGCTCTTCCTTTTTCTTTGCTATGGGATTCTACAACTCATGTCCACTCCTCAAATACACTGCATTGATTGTCTCTTTTGGATTTCTTTCTGTATAAACAGGGAGCGTTCCAGGGACCCTTTCAGATAATAGAGTAGCTAGTTGCCCTACCTGTCTTTCCAGGTTTCTAAAAGTCATACCCAGTTCTTTGATAGCCGCACCATGTTCCTGTATAACTGAGATATGAGTTTCAAGCCTCTCATTTGTCTTGATAATAAAAGCCTTCATTAACTCTTTCATGCTAGACTGATTAGATTGTGGAGGTTGATATTGCTGCCTCTGCTGATTTTGAAAGCCTGGAGCTCCTTGTCCCTGTGGTCTAGTGTTATTTTATTTCCATGAGTTCAGGAAACCACATGGTGAATTTCACGAAAAGCATGGGTGCCTCTGTCCCATAGGATTGAAATTGTTTTCACTCTAGTAGTTGCCTCTATCAAAGCTTCCCACAACATTTACCACTTCATCTACAGCTACGGCCTGACACTCATGCATTGGATGTCCCATTCCACAGAAATCACAAATTGGTGATGGTTGGCTCTGGACCTTGACTAAGGTCAAATTTCTTATCTCTTTGGACATGACATCTAGTTGGGCTTGCACTGCTGTGCTAAAGTCTACTTGATGAACCCCAACTGATTTTCTTCTATCATTGCTCTCAGAAGGCCACTGGTTAGCATCTTCAGAGAGCTCATCAAGTATTGCTACAATCTCCTCAGGAGTCTTCTTCATTAAAGAATCCCCGATTGCAGTGCTCAGAGTTCGTCGTTAGGGCGGTGTCAGTCCATCCCAAAAGTCTTGTTGTTGCATCCGCAATTCAATACCGTTATGCTGACACTTCCTTACTATCTCCTTGAATCTCTCCCAAGCCTCGAAAAATGTTTCAGTATCCGTCTGGAAGAAGTTGTGAATTTCCCTTTTGAACTTCACTATTTATGCAGCCGAGAAGTATTTGTTAAGAAACTTTCTAGTCATAGCTTCCCATGTCCTGATCAACCCCATTAGTAAGCTGTGAAGCCAGTGCTTCACGTCATCCTTCAGTGAAAAGGGGAATGCCCTTAATACTACAAAAAAATAGCGTTTAGCGACGGACGTATTCCGTCGCTATACATGTTATTTTCATTGCTAACACAATTTAGCGTTGAATTAGCGACAGATTCAAGTTGGTCTCTAAAATGCTCGTAGCTAAGCTCATAGCGATGAAAAATACAAAACCGTCGCAGCTCTAGTGACGGATTAGCGACACAATATATCTATAGCCACGTTTATCGACTGAAACATCTGTCACTATTTTGCTTGGTTTCGTCGCAATTTTGACTAATTTTGTCGCTATAATTCATAACAAAATTCGTCGTTTGTTCTTATTAGCAACGATAGAATCCGTCGCTAGTTCTTCCTGGTTTCAGCAATAAAAATCGTTTGCCACCAATCCGTCGCAATATTTAATTTAATTCGTTAATTTTAGCTACGAAAACTATTTGTCGCTATTTTTTTAAATTATTTATTTATTTATTATTTTAAATGTACCCTGTTCAAGCATATTACATAAATGCTATTAAATACACTTAATTAAAAGTGATTGATATTAATATAAATTAACATTCAACAAGGTCCAAATTATATAGCATAATGCATATAATTGTATCGTTAAGTACAAAATATCCACAAGCACCAACAATAAAGTCTAAACAAAATAGGCTAACTATGCGAGGCCGGAGAGTCATGGTCATTGTCAGAACCCAATGCATGAATTACATCAATGTTAGCGGCAACAAAAGAGATAGGAACTGTAGGTGCCACATCTGATGGGTGATTGGTAAGATCAATATTTGGCGGATGCGATGGTAAAGAAACTAATTCGCGTACCCGCTCAACGATTACACGAACTATATGATCTGTCAGTACATGAATCAACCGTATCACTAACTCATCCATATTCCCTATCGGTGTTGATTGAGTATTTGAAGGTGTTGCTGAGGATGTTGCATCAGATCCAAAAGAGTCATGAAAATTCGGCCCGTAGTAGCATTTTACTTGAGATCCAAGACCATATACTCTTCTTTTCTTTTCTCCTCCCGCAACTTCGTTATATACTTTACACTAATCAATATCAGATTGACTCTGTGTTTGTTGCTATAATATTTTCTGATATTTTTCTTGTAGAAGAGTTAATAATTAGTGAAATTGAAACATTAAAGAATATTGAGTATTCAATTTACAAAATGAAAAAATGATATGAAAGTAAAGTCAATAAAATTATTTAAAAAGTTGACTTACATGTACAATTCGGGATTTCTCACCAACAAAAGATTTTCTATCATTACCATCTGTATTCAATTCAAAAGATTGGCAAAAAGACGTTTGTAAAAAAATAATATTGAAAAATAACATAGAGAAAAGGAAGCAACTTAAGTAGAACAGAGAAACTAAACACTAAACAAGTTCCCACCTTCAAACTCTTGTTAGTTTAAGGAAGCACCTGGAAAGAATATTTTAATTTGTTTCTTGAACTTCCATGTAAATTAAAGACTCTCCAAACCTCTTTAGTGACATAGCTAGCTTTAGATTGCAGAGAAGTCTCCAAACTGGTTTTGAAGCTCGCAATCTCAACTCCTACCTCCGAAATCAACTCTAATATGGGCAAAGTATTTAGAGCAAGACAACTTAAAAGACATAAGAACTTTTTTCCTTCTACTAGCTGAGGATAATGACAGCAAATTGATAAAGATAGTAGGGAGAGAAGCTTAAGGTTCTTATTGGCTCAGTTGGATCCAAGCGCAATAAAGTGCCTTATGTTAAAGCGCTTCTCAACTTTCTAAATCAGCATTCTAACTTGTCAAACACGATACTATGGACTTCAGCAACCACTTGTGTTGCTGCACTTTATGTTGCTGCTGATGTTCCAACAGAATTAGGAGAATGAAAACACATATAAGGTTATTACAAAGTATCTCCAAATTTGATTGCAGATATGCTACTAATGACATTTTAGGGGTATTATCACTTTTAACCTGCGCCAAAAATTATTTATATTTGGTAGCCAAAAAAAATATAAAATTTATATAATTTTTGTATACAAAATACAGAATATATATATATATAGACACACACACACACACACACACACATGAAAACGTGAAATGCTTTAAGCCCAAATACTTCGCTTAGCTCTCTTGTAGGACATACTATTTATATATTTAATTTTTTTCCCTTTTGAAATGCTTAAAACTAAATCTCTGTTTCTAATATCTACCTACAACACACAAGCGATGTATAAAAAGATATAGACACCTGCATACATTAAATATATTTATGTTATATATGTATTTCTAAACTTCGATGACATGATCTTGCTGGGTAGTATCATATGTTTTTGAGTGTGTAATAGTTTTAAATTAATGTTTTGTAAGGAGTAGGTATTACTCACTATTGAAACGTTTGTGTTACTATAAAATTGGGGATAAATTTTTTTTTAATAATATTATTTTACCTCATTATTAAAAATTAGTGTCTAATAACATCCTTGTACCTCATAAAACAAATATAATGTAATTATAGTAATATTACCTAATATTTTTCTTTTGTGATGATTGATAGGGAATAACGTGCAACGCACGTTCGTAGAGACTAGTATAAAAATAAAGAAGGATATGATACAATGCATATCTAACTGTATTATTCATCTAAAATTTATTAGCAAATAACAGGTTCAATCACTTTCTTTCTATGCAAAGTCAATCTGCTAGATATTATTACAAGTAGTTTATGGCTACATGTCCCCTTCTCTTAATTTAAAAAATTGCATATAATCTTGAAGCATAGTAAAAACTTAAGTCCTAAAGTTTCCTCCTGTTTAATTTTAAAAGGAATGGACATAGCTTTCAGACATGTACATCACTATAACAGAATATGAAACAATCCGAATAAGAGCAAAGAGAAATAAACGGTAAGGAACTCGCCTTTCTTCAGGAAACAATCAGTTGTGAAGTTTTTGTTCTTCAGCTGAGTGTTTACATCAGCTAAAAGGAACTCGCCTTTCTTCACACCAGATGAGGTAATGGCCTGAAAAGTGAGACAGAACAATAATACATTTATTTATGAACTTTAACCATCATTTAATAATAGTACCCATTGTAGAAATATCGTCGAGATAGCTAACAAAGATCTTCAAAGTGTGAATTCGTCTTTCACTTCCACTGAAAAATCCTAAAGGATTATTTCAAAAAATTTGCATTCAATCTCATCATGTTTATGAGATAAAGCATAATAATTTCAGATACAATATCTAACTTGAAAGAGACTAGAGTAAATATGTATCAACAAGCCATTGAAGCATGAAAATCATATCAATTTAATCTAAAATAATCAGAACAATAAAAGATTACAACAAAAAATAACTAAACACAAGCCATAAATAGAAGCTCAAATAATAACCCGACAATATAGAGCACCTTTTAACACTCCATTCTATGAACATACTCAGAAATTAAAAAAAATAAAGGATTGACATAGTTAATTGATTGACGGATTAATTTTGTTAATATCATAACTACTAAAAGACATAAAATTGAAGCAAACTTACAAGACCGGTAGAACCAAATCAAGAAAATAGGAGGAAGTATAAATTTACCTTCTATATATCACATAGCCTAAATCTAACTTAGAATTGAACTAGGATCTAAATTAACAAAGAAAGCAGAACCAAAAAAATCAGCATAATTAAAAGAAAGCATCATTAAAAGTAAATAAAGCAGATCTAAATTAACAAAAAAAGGATCTAAATTAACAAATAAATTTACCTTCTATATATACCATATCTAGAAGATCAAAGCAGCATTATTACCTTATTAAAAAAATATCGTTAAAAGTAAATAAGTTTTTGTCAAATTCAACAAAATTGCTAGAACCAAAAAGTATTTCAACACATCCATACAACAACTACAACTCAATCCTAAAATAGCTGGGGTACACTATGTAATCCTCCAAATCAAAAAATTAGCCAAGAGAATACTAGATCCAGAAGGTTAAAGCAGTATTCAAAGGAGCCATCAAGTTCTGTACAAGTGGTAGAACTAAAAAGTGTATATAAAACCAAAAGACAGTGGAAAAAAATAATCTTGAACTCACCAAAAGATTCATTTGAAGAAACCAGTCAAACCCATTTGATGGCGTGTTCAAAAAAACCAGGAATAGCTATGAGCCAGCAAAATTAGAAAAAGTAATCAGGAATGCATGCTAATTTGAATTTCTCGGCAATTTCAGAAGTTATAAAGCAAAAACGTTTGCCCAATTTCGAAATTTCTTCTATTCTCCATTGGATATCTATGTTCCCATTGTATATGAGCCTTAGATTCACGCCCAATGTGTTGTATTGGAAGCAAGAATCTCACATTATTGAAGATGAGAGAATGTGGGCGAGTTTGATAGAGAGAGAGAATGTGAGTCTGTAAGTAGATTTATGCCGTAGATAAACTTTACTTTTAAAAAGACACAGCGACGGAAATAGCTACGGAAATAATTCTGTCACTAATAATAACTTGGGAATTTTTTTTTTTAAATCTAGCGACAGCATTTCCGTCGCAATTAAATTTGGAATGTTTTGATAAGTAAAATAAAGGCAGCGACAAAATTTTTTGTCGTTAAATTCGTCGCTATATTTTAATAATTTTTTTCGCCCCACTTTCGTTGCTAATTTTGTAGGTAAATAATCCATCGCTATATTTGATACTAAT